CACGGGTAGCCTCAGGCACGGGTAGCCTCAGACACAGGTAGCCTCTGACACGGGTAGCCTCTGACACGGGTAGCCTCAGTCACGGGTAGCCTCTGACACAGGTAGCCTCAGGCACGGGTAGCCTCAGGCACGGGTAACCTCTGACACGGGTAGCCTCAGACACGGGTAGCCTCAGACACGGGTAGAGATGATACATCTTATCTTTAAGTCAGGCGACCAGGCTGAGGCTGAGGCTGAGGCTGAGGCTGAGGTGGAGGCTGGACGTGATGGCTGCAGGTTTTTCTTCCATTTTAACAAAATAGTCCAAGAAATGCAACTTTTCCGTCGCTCTGCAGACAGCAGACGTCTCTGAGTTCTCTCTCCTCCTTCATGTTCTGGTTCCTCAGAGCTGCAGGACTTTATGCTGAAACATGGACCTCAGTGAAGGACCATGATGACGACTGTTTGCAGGACCATGCAGCCTTTTTATACCAGTCAGGGGTTAATTTTATCTTCTGTTGCTGCCAGTGTTTCCTGTTGTTAAAGTGGATCACAGTGTTTGTCAGATGCACCTCAGTTAGATGATGTATGAGCGTGTTGATGCGTGATGTCTAATCCTATGTTGGTGTGTCGGTTCCAGGCCCTGGCTCTGGTCCGGGACAGTCCTCTGCTCTCCAAACTGGCCAGCAGCCCCCTGTATCCCTTCATCTACGTGGTCCAGCAGTTCATCCACTGGCTCTTCATGGGATACCCTCTGGTGCCATTCTGCCTCTTCACCTACGACAAGTGGCTGAAGGTAACTACAGGTTAAAGGTGCGGCTCTCACCTGTACCTGCAGCTCAGGTGTCGGAGACAGCAGGGAGATTCAGACTGTAGGAGGAGGAGCAGGTTTGTTCAGACTGTAGCTGCAACACGAGTCTAGCAACAATCTGCTTGTCCAGACATGAAGCAGCAGCCTGCAGCTCCTCAGTGTTTCGGTCATAATGAAACACCTGCATGCAGGTAGAGCAGTCACATGACCAGGAGAGTCATCGCAGGACTTTAGTAAACAGAGACGCCAGGCTGAAGTCAAGCAGGGACGTCGTCCTCTGAGTTACGAAGTTCACCAGAATCTAAAACACCAACAGTTGGACCCTCCAAACTGGGTCTGTGCAGCAGGACTCTGTGGTTGAGTCTCATCAGCGCTCTTCGTTTACCTTCAGAAATCTACATTCACACTGTGTTTATCTGCAGCCGAAGTCTGACTGGTTTAGTTTCTTTAATTCACTTCATCAGATCTGCGTTGTCCTTTTTAGATCCTAAAAGAAATCTGCAGCATCATTTCACTGAGTCAGACGCTCCGGCGAGTGGGCGGGGCTTATTAGATGTTATTGTTGTCCTCTGACAGAAGCCACATCTGGCAGCTGTTTCACCTCCACGTCAGAGCAGCTGAGGACCAAAAATTAATAGATAAAAACGTGACAAATGAAACCCAGAAAACATTCAGACTGAAGGAGCTGGACCAGAGTTCTGACTGACTAATGTGTTCACAGCAGCTTTTAACTGAGTCTTGTCCTCCAGGATTAAAGCTGAACACTTTCCTCACCTTCGTCTTTCAGGTTTATTCTTCCGTCTATTTCTGTGGTCACATTTTCTTCCTCGCAACCTTTTTATCGATACCGTACCTCCGCAAGGCGCTGGTACCGAAGAAAGAGCGCCGAGACAAGAAGCAGGATTAAAACCTGGTACGAGGACTTGGCACGGTGAGCAGACAGTGTGAAGGTGTGCAGACAGGTGTGTCCAGGTGTGTTCCCTGCTGACTCGTGTGTTCTGTCCCAGCAGGTCTGAGGCTGCATCTCCACTGAAGGGAACTGTGACTCTCAAGGAGCAGAACGGGAAATATTTTAAGGCCTTTAGTAATATATATATGTCCATGTACAAATAAATTTCTATCTATTTTTGTGTTTTGGAGGGGAGGAGGTGTTTTTATAAGCAAATGTTTACAGGAAATTACCGTTGTGCCACGTGGGGGAATTGTGAGCCAATCAGGGGCAGTTTCCTGTTTGTTAGTTAGTTTGAGAGACTCGATGCTGTCGACAGATTTGCACTCAGCAGTGACGGGTTCAGTCTTCGTTGTTGTCCAGGTCTGAGGAGGGGAAGCCGACTGGAGCTCCGGATTCAACAGACAGACGCTGATCTTTAACCATCAGGGGCTCGTTTCATGTTGAACGGCTGCCGGTGGTTCTACAAACTGTAAATCACATGTATGTTCACCAACACCGACTCCAAATGGCCTTGTACTGATGAATGTTTTTACAGTACATTTGTTCTGGTTTTCATTTGATTTGTGATGAAAAAAAGACTTGATTTTATAGAGTTTTAACAGCTTTTATGAAAACCGACGTTTTGTAGCTTTTGGATAAGATTTCATGAACCAATGTTGTCCCTGTGTTCACTCCTCGGATTTATACTCTGACATCACATGTTCACGTGAAGAACCGGTCCATGTTCTGCTCATGTTTCACTCTGTGAGCTGAAGCTGTCTGTCTCCTGTTCAACCGAAAGAGTTGAAAACAGTCTGTTATCCAGAGTTGCAATGATTAATCGATGAACTGTCAACCACTCAGTTAATCACCGACATATTTATAATCAATTAATCCCTTTGAGTCTTCACAAAAAACACAAATTCTCTGAAAGAAAACCTCTGATCACAGCCTCTGCCTTCTATTGATCGTTGCAGCTCTGCTCTCAATAATCTCCAAATATTTTCTTGATATGAGGTTTGATTATTTGATCAAAAACAGTAAAAGTTCAACGTCTCTGGTCCCTAAAGCTCAGTTCATCTGTATTCATTCATTTAGTTCTTTCTTGGTTCAACAACCCAAAGATTCTCCGTTTATTGTCTCATCAGACAAACGAAGTCACAGCAGTTCAGCCTTGTTCAGTGTTTTTGCAAGAAAATCTAGTTTCAGGTGTTTCTACCTGACTGATGCTCTAAACGCAGCATTTCAGGGCAAATATTCTCAATTACAAGTAAAAGTTCTGCTTTCAAATATTTTTTCAAACCAAAAGATGATCAGCAACCTTTGTCTCAGAATTAAAGTTAGTATTTTAAAGTTGAATCTCATTTAAAATGTCAAACAGTAATCAGACTGTGTTCAACATAAGTTCAGAATCCTTACGTTAGCTTTGGTTTCCCTCCATGGGAACGCCGCACATCCCATTCCACAGTAAAACATGAAGAAATCACTTATCACATGTGTTCTTACTTTACAGAACGTGAAGAAAAAGGAATATTAGGCTGTTCAAAAAAAATAGTGTCTGCATTTTATTTCTTTTACAAATTCAAACATTTAGTGTATAAATGGAAAAATGCTTGAAGATTGAATTGGATCACTAAACCCAGACGCTGCTCGCTAACCCTCTACTACACCTACGAGTAAATTATTTGGCCTGTAGAAATATAGTTTCTACCAAAACCAGTGATCTGGTATGTACAGAATGTACATTTCTGAACTAAAGCTTCCATCCACAAGTGGAAGTGAAGCTAGCAGCTGGTGAACTACGTCCAGATGTTTACAGCACAACGTTCACCATTTATTATTATTTACTCATCATACAGCTTCCTGTTTGTGGCTCTCTGACTGTCATTACTGTATTAAGAGTTTTATGCAGATGTCATTTCTGTTCGTAACCACTACCTGGTAATTAAAGGTTTGATTAGAGTCAGCGAGCTAGCAGCTAGTTAGCTAGCTCCTATCTAGCGTATTATACACTCGCTAATGTTATGTAAATGTTTGCTAACTATCATGGACGTTAGATAATTCCTCGTTTTTTTTAATCTCATATAGCTTTTCATTGCCTCCATGATATGTTCAACCTTCTCGTAACAACAGTGACTCATGTGACTGTGAGCTCATCTGCAGCTCAACAGAACATGAGAATGACATGCTAATGACATGCTAATGACATGCTTCCAATGCACTGTATAGGAGTCTGCATAGGTTTCAGGGGCTTGATGGTCATCACTGCAATCTGTATCAAAGTCTAGCTGT